CCCCCCCCGGGCTGCCTCACAGTTCACCAGATGGCCAAGCCCCGGCCACGCACCAGCCTGAGGGTCCCAGGGCCAGGCCAGCCCCCGCAGGAGGGTGTAAAGCCAGAAATGAAGGCCTGGCTCGAGGGGCAGGGTGCCAGCCTGGAGCCTCAGGACAGGCCTTAAAAACAGTCCTGATGATGAGCTGGGAGGGGAGCCGGAGTCTGGGGGGAAAAGCCAGCCTCACCTCTGTGTGTCTCTTGTGGGGAGATGGAAGAAGGGAAGAGTTCCTCGGGCCACCTGCCTTAGGTCGCCAGGCTCACAGTGGGCCCACTGCGTTTTACAGGAAAAAGAGATTAAGTCTCTGACTTCCGAGATCGACCGGTTGAAAAACGGCGACTATTTAGAAACAACTGTAAATTTGGAGAAATTGCAAGAAGAAAACCTAAAACTAAAGTATCGGCTGAATATACTCCAAAAGGTGAGTGCTCCAGTATCTTCGTATAAATCTTTGTGAGTAATCTGTGCCCAGTGGGATGTTGGAAAAGCGGGTAGAAATGGTGTCTGTCCCCCAGCCTTAGACAAGACAGGGCTGAGCATGTGACCCAGCGGGCACTGCCAATGGCAGCCTGGTAACTCTTAGTCTGACATAGTGCTTGTGTTGAGACAGTCCACTGTAGTCCAGGCTGAAATTGGATTCTTCCATTTTCCTGCCTCTGGGACTTCAAGGTGTGCACCACCATGCCTGGCAGCACAGGTTTTCTTTTCTCTTTCTCCTTCTTTCTTTCTTGCCCTGAAAGTGGTAAAAATTGAAGCTAAAGGGCTTAGAGCCTCAAGTCCACCAGACCCAGGTTTGGGTCTACTGGCCTTCGTGATTCACCGTCAGAAACTGATCCACAGTAGGCTGGATTAAATGGGACCAGCCCAAAGGCTTGAGCTCTGGGCGTGGAGATAACGTTACCCCCAACCTGTTGGAGGCCGGAACAGTGAGGTACAAATGGCCAGGGGACAGCCCTACGGCCAAAGGTAGGGTTACTGTCTGAGGGAGTTATGCGTAACAGCAGACCTCCAGGCCTAGATGAGTGAATAGAACGGTTTTTGTTTTTGTTGTTATTTTGAGTCTCCTGGTCTGGGTTTCTGGCCTAGATGGGCAAGTTGAACTGTTTTTGTTTTTGTTGTTGTTTTGTGTCTGAAGGCCTAGCCTCTGTCCCTCAGCTTCTTTTGCTCAAGGCTAGTCCTCTACCACTAGAGCCACAGTGCCACTCCTGGCCTTTTCTGAGTAGTTTATTAGAGATTAGAGTCTCACGGATTTTCCTGTCTGGGCTGGCTTGGAACCACAGTCCTCAGATCTCAACCTCCTACTGAGTAGCTAGGATTACAGGCGTGAGCTGCCACCACCCAGCCAAGAACTGTTATTTCAAAAATATTCCTGGTCTGATTACAGTTTTTGTGAAAGTTTTTTGCTCATTTTTAAATCATTACTTCTACCTTGCTCTTTTTTGGTGGGGATGGAGCATCTACCAGTACCGGTGCTTGAACTACAAGCCTTGAGCTCTCTTAGATATTTTGAGATGGTGTCCCACTAATTGAGCCATACCTCTTCCAGTTCTGTACTGGCTAATTGGAGGCGAGTTTCACGGGCATGTCTGCTGGGGCTGGTTTTGAATCTCCTTGCAGAGTAGCTAGGATTACAGGCTACTGCCCCTATCTGAAAAAGGGAAATGCTTAACTTTCTCTGGCCTAAAAGTTATTTTTCTTTTTTGTTGTATAGCATCATTTGTGGGTTATTCCATCTGAATTTTACAACTTTTTCCCCCATGAATCTTGTGTTCTGTTCATTAAGGGCCTCATAACGTAGGTTTTATCTTTTGTATTTGTGTTTTTTGTGCCTTTTCTGAGGCTTTTTTTGCTCAAGGCTAGCCCTCTACCACTTGAGTCACAGTTCTGCTTTTGGATTTTGGGGTGCTTATTAGAGATAAGAGTCTCAGCAGACTTTCCTTCTGGGCTGTCTTTGTTCCTCCTGAGTAGCTAGGCTCATACGAAGTTTTATGAAATAAAAAAATGAGCTTGCGTCAGGTTTTTTGCTTGCCTTTCAGGTTTGCTAGGACTCATCCTAATGTATGCCCTCATTCCCATAATTGTCTCCTGGTGTGGCTGCTCTTCCTGAGCCAGCCCGCTCTCCTGCCTGCGTCCTGCTTACTCCCTTCCCAGATCTGTTATCTAGCAGGGCATCTGCTGTGCTTGACCTGCCTGAACTCATGACTTTTCTCCCGCAGACTCGTCATCAAAGAGCCTCCCACTTTTCTGGTTACAACATTCACTCTGCTCTGATGTGTCCTGAATTCTGTTGTGTATTGAGACGGGGGTCTGGTCGTGTGGCCCAGGCTAACCGTGAACTTTGAGTCCTGTCTAGGCCATGTAGCTAGCTGGCTTTTCATCTGGTTTGCTGGAAGGGGCTCACTTAGTCAGTGTTGGCTATTACTTAAGTCTCAGTGTCTTCCAGACTGGGCTCACTCAGTGTTGGTTATTACTGAAGTAAGTCTGTCTTACAGACTTGAAGAGGATTCTGTCAGCTTTTGTACACCTTCCTCTTGGTATTTGTTCTGATAAAAATAAATGAAGAGGGCTGGGAAGGTGGCTCAGTGGTAGAGCGCTTGCCTTGCATGCCTGAGGCCCTGGGTTCGATTCCTCAGCACCACATAAAGAAAAAAAGCTGGAA